GAGAGGAGACGACTTGGGGGTGGGAGCCGCGCGGAACGCAGTCTCCGGCTTCAGTCCCGTTTACAGATGAGGAAACTGAGGCACCGGCCGCTCGCCGGCTCCCCACGGCCTCAGTTGGCATCAAGAGCCCCAGGCTATGATATCTCACTTCTGTACCGTGGGGCTTATCAGTCAGTTTTGGGGTGTTTGCGGCTCCCTTCTAGGAAGAGCGGTCGGGGTTTTGGCCTCGTTCGTGGCGTGTTGCTTTTTCTTTCAGTTTCTCTCTTTTCAGGGTGAGGATGGTTTTATACAGCTGCCCGGAGTTCTTCAGTTGAAACGTGCGCCGTGTTGAGGCAAGGCATTCCTTTTTTCCCCCCTCTCTCTTTTTATTTTTCTTTATTATCATATTAACAGTCTGTGGGGACATCGTGAATTTTGAAGGAAGCTGATGCTCCGCTTGGTCAGCTGCCAGGTTATTCACGTACTTGGCATCTTTTCTATTCAACCCCTTGACATTTGCATGTTTTAGGACAGTTGTCATCTTCCAGCCAGCAAGCCTGTGGCCTTTCCATGCCCCACTCCTACTTTCCCTGCCCCCTTCCTCTCCCCAGTCTCCCCTGGAAAGTTGTATCCTTCGTTCAGCTGTGGAGCATTCCCTCCCTTGCTTTTGAATGTGGACTGATTAGTGAACTTAAAACGATTGTTCCTTTTCCAATCATTAACTCCCAGAGAAAAATCCAGGCCTTGAGAGAGGGGGTTGGTTTATTCAAGTGCTGGTTTTCTGCACCCCTTCGTACCCCAGGTCATCTTCATGGCCCTGAGAGTTTCGCCTGCTATTCCCCATTGAGTAGTGGGTCTATTTGAACTACAACAGTAGTAGGAGGAAAGAATTTGCTGGAAATTCTTATTGAAGTTCATGCACTGTGCATGTCGATAACACCCAGAACATTCTCTAATGTTCTGCAGCAAAATTTTGTAGTATTCTTGCATAGATGCTGCCTTCTTTTGGGTGGTAATTTCTGTGAAGAGCTGATAAGGCGAGGCACTTGTTATTGAAAACAACACAGACATGAGGCAGCAATGATTTCTGTGGTTTCGCATGCCTAGGCTGTGGGTTTTTTTGATTTAAGAAAATCTTTTAACACAAAAAGAGAGAACAGAGTAATTATCGTATTCATCAAACTGTTAGTATTTTGTTCCTGATATTCACACTGTATTCTTAAATTTGGGGAGAGCTTTTACATTGGTGATGCAGAATTTATAGGCATCATACATGGTTTGAGAATCTAGGAAGCCAGTTTCAAAGGAACCGCACAACATCTTGTTTTCATAATTGTGGAATTTTCCTTATTTGTTTCCTCCTTTTTGTATAAATAAAGTGGTATAAAAATCGACCAGGACTTTATTTGTTCAGAGAATTAGTGACATTTTAGGCAAAAATCATTAAATGCTCCCAACTCTCTCTTTTTTTTTAAACTGAAAGAAGCTTTTAATCACAGAAACAGTTAGGTTGAGGAAATGGGATTTTGGCTTTCACTGGTACCACTTGAGTTTAACCAAGTCATTCATTCATTTCTCATGAACTACCATATATGTCAAGTCACTGATCAGTGGAAATATAAAGCTAAAGGACTTAGGGGAACTCACAGTTGAGGAGTGGGTGGCTAGGCTAACTTGAGTGGAACAGCATTGATCATTGTTTCTCTGATGTGAATGTACAGACGCAGGAGCCAGCTCCTCCCCCTGCTTTTTAACTTTATAAATCCCAGTTGTTTTCATACACAGAATGCTTAAGGGACTGTATCTTTGTGTACTTGAGTCATCAGGAAATTAAAAGTGATGAAGTCTCTTTTCTGGGCATGGCTTCTTCTGTATTCCTATTCTTTAGCTGTTTAGGAATACAACAACTTGTTCTTTGAGTGAGAGATGTTCTTTCTGAGAATGGTAATCGTCCTAGCTGTCTAGAAGAGTTTGGAAAAAGGCCCGTGTGTCTTCTTTCTTTAGTGTTCACACTGACCTTCCTACAACTTTGCCATTTGTAATTTGGCAGTATTTTAGTATTGTCATTTTTATTCTGTTTTGGATAGCCTTCTGTGGTTTTTAGAACAAGTCGTTTTATCTCAGGAGATGTAAAGAGTTCTTCAGTAAGGTATAACCTGATAACAAGAATCAAAGTGACATTATTTCCTAGATAAGTTAAATAATTGTGACTTACTTAGCTAATGCTGTTCATTTGTATGCTCTGTTGTCTTTAGAACTTGGTAATTCTGATCTTTAATATTTTTGTATAAAACTTATTTTTCTTATTCTTTAGGTGAAGGTTGACAGGTCAAGTAAATTTCTCATACAAAAATTTATACACATATTGTTATGTGACCCTAGTTGCAATCCCTGTAATGCGACAGCACACTCCCCCTTCCCACTCACGTTTCCCATGTCCATGCAACCAGCTCCTGTCCCTTTCTGCCTTCTCATCCTGCCTCTGGACAGGAGCTGCCCATTTAGTCTTGCGTATCTGCCTAAACTAAGAAGCACACTCTTCGTGAGTATTATATTTTATAGTACCGTCTAATCTTTGTCTGAAGAGTTGGCTTCGGGAATGGTTTTAGTTCTGAGTTAACAGAGAGTCCGAGGGCCATGTCTTCTGGGGTTCCTCTAGTCTCAGTCAGACCATTAAGTCTGGTCTTTTTACGTGAATTTGAGTTCTGCACCCCACTTTTCTCCTGCTCCATCAGGGACTCTCTGTTGTGTTCCCTGTTAGGACAGTCATTGGTGGTAGTAGGGCACCATCTAATTCTTTTGGTCCCAGGCTGATGGAGTCTCTGGTTTATGTGGCCCTTTTGTCTCCTGGGCTAATATTTTCCTTGTGTCTTTGGTGTTCTTCATTCTCCGTTGCTCCAAGTGGGTTGGGACCAATTGATGCATCTTAGACGGCCACTCGCAAGCTTTTAAGACCCCAGACGCCATTCACCAAAGTGGTATGCAGAACATTTTCTTAATAAACTTTGTCATACCAGTTGACCTAGATGTACCCCGAAACCATGGTCCCCAGACTTCCACCCCTGCTACTCTGTCCCACGAAGTGTTTGGTTGGTTGTGTTCAAGAAACTTCTTAGCTTTTGATTTAGTTCAGTTGTGCTGACTTCCCCTGTAGTGTGTGCTGTCCTTCCCTTCACCTAAGATAATGCTTGTTAACTATCTAGTTAGTGAATTCCCCTCTCCCTCCCTCCCCACCCTCGTAACCATCAAAGAATGTAAAACTTATTTCTTGACTACCTTCTTTCCACTGCATTGATGAGAAACTGACAAATATTTGCACCTTCCAATTTAATTATTTAATTTTAATACAGTTAAATTCCCTTTTACTCAGAATCCAGACCAACAACAAGCTCAGATAACCAAATATATTTTCAAATCCATGTGATCCTGAACTGTTCCCTTGTCTTGAGTGTTGTCAGTATGGTCTTAGGGTTCAGTGCATCATTGTGTTTTAGCTGTTGGGTAATCTTCATTCAGTACTTACAGTTATTATCGGGATACTCATAATCACTCAGTTTTCCAACCTGCAATTAGTAATATAGTATTTAGATGAGTCATTTGTGACAGACTTACACTCAGAGTGAAGTATAACATTAGAGGCAATTTTAAAATGATTTGACATGAAAAGTAGTAAGAGAATACAAATGAAAATGTCTCCCTTCACACCAACCCCCAACCTGACCCACCATTTTTCAGAATTTGGATGTGCTTCCTTGTTTGTGTGTTACCTTCCAGCTCCTATGACCTTGACTTGAAGGCAGAAGCTGAGTGATCATGGGATGATTTTTGTTGAGGGCAGCCATCTATCCTCAATCTTCAGTATCTTTCAGTGTCTTGGCACTGTGCTGAGCAGATAAAAATACTAAACAAACAAACAAAAGAACTCTTTCTCATTGATAAAAGAACTCATTAACGGTGTGATTTAAATCATTCTTGCCATGTAGTATTGAGTCAACTCTTACCCCTTGGGGCTGTTAAGACTTCATGTAATTATCCTGTGTATCCCAGTGAAAGTAGAATGTGGGCATTATATTCATTCATCTCGACAATGGGAGGAAAGTATCTGTTACCATATTTCTTCTGTAATACCGGTAGTTAAAAAGAGTATTAAATGTATTGTCTCACACCCGTCTAAACTAGAGCCATTATGTTCCCCACACAGCTTTCTGTACCTGTCAGCTGCAATGAAGAGAATCAATTTTTAATATGGTAGTTTCAAACCTATTCTTTCTTAATGTATTCTTTCTAAAAGAGGAATGACCACCTCCTTTGTATTTTTGGATAATGCTGTTTAAATATTTTATAACCTTTGCTCTGGCTGTTCTAGTGGTCTACTGTGATCCATCCTGTTATTAGTGGCTCTGAGCTCACTCCCACTTGTGCTAATGCAAGTTGGAGACAAAGTTACCCCTTCTTGTGTAGTTTACTTTAAAACATGGTACTGGATAACTGTTCTTAAACTACCCTCAGTCCTTTTGTTTAACACCGGAGTAGTTATATCAAATAGTCTATTAACTGTGGACTCTTTGTTTTGCAATAAAACACTTTTGTAATCGGTTCATTTAAAATTTAAAATACAGTGTCCTAATGCATTACATGTAGTAATTTAGTATTGTCTTGGTAATATTTCGCCAGCAGTAATGGTCTTTGGAGCCCTGATAGCACAGCGGTTAGGAGTCAGCTGCCAACCAAAAGGTCGGCAGTTGGAATCCCCCAGCATCTTCTTGGAAATTCTGTGAGGCAGTTCTATTCCCTAATATAGGGTCGGTCTGAGGCAGAATTGACTCGATGGTAACGGGTTTTTTTTAATGGTATTTATTTAAATTATAACATGAATTGGTTAAACTAGAAAACCAAATAGAGTAGGAATCTTTGCATATAATAATTATTAAGATGCAAGCAAGTTCCTAATTTTAATATTGAAGACATCATTTTAAGTAATTTTTTTTCAAAATAACGGTAGAATTGTCTTTTTTTTTTTTTTTTTTTGCCAAAAAATACAGTTAAAGGACCAAACAACAGCTCATTTTTTTGGAATTTGCTTTTCGATCATCTCAGCCTTCCAGAAGCAGCTAAATAGGCAGCAAAACCTATGTACTTTAATTTTAGAATTTATGTATTCTTTGTTGTTGTTGTTATTATTGTTTTTTTGACACACACATTTCATCATCTGGCTTCTCAAAACTGAGTAGAAACAGTAAGTCGGAAAGCAACGAGGCTCCCAAAGAAGTCAAATGCCTACTGCAGGAAACCACAGAAAATGGCTGATTGTGAGGGAAAACTATGGTCTGTACATCTAATAGAAAGCAGACACAAGAAGCCAGAAAACAGAATGCAAAGCCCTTGATAAAGTAACAGCTTGCATATTGAGCCGCATGTAATAATTTATATTCATAATGATAATTCAGTGATTGAGAAAATAAGGCCATTTCCTTGTTGAAAAATGTTGGCATTTTAAAAGCATTTTAGTCAAAAATAACAAACATTTCATTTTGGTACTTTAAAGGAATAAAGCCACATTAAGGGACTGGGTAACTGCTTGGGTAACCCTTCTAAGGGGTTCAGAAAAACAACTCATTTCTATGGTACCAACCTAGAGGTTTCCACAGGTGTCTTATGTAAGTGGCAAATAGAAATTGATCCCTTTCCTGCTGAAGTAGACAGTGCCCTCAAGTGGAATGAAAGCAAACACATTACATAAAAGAAGAGAAGAAAAATAAGAGAGAACTACTTGGTGCTAGCTCTGCCCCCGCCCTCACTAAATGTTGTACAGATATTTCGTGATGTAGGTTTGAAGGGGCGCCATACTATTAGCTTGTCTCAGGCAATGCCGTGCCTCATTGGTCTCCTGGCTTGTAGAGGGACAGGCTTTTAAAAACGTTACCATCATGGAATACCTCATGACCTAACAGTGCTTTCTGAACGAAGTGTTACTCTGTGTATGGATTTGTCAGATTGTTTAAACATTAAGTTAAATGATTGAACTTGAAATTTGGTTCTTTAGTTTTAGGAGTATTTGTTTTTTAATTCCAAGAATAAAATAGGTAAATATGATAGTGCCATCAATTTCTGCTGTTACCTAGGATACTGGAACTGGATATCTCAACCTCAAAGGAGAGTGAAATAAGCGCTGTCTTTACTACTTGTTACTAAATGCAATACTGATTGCTACATTCTGTGACAGAGAACACACAGGAGTGATTGTTTTCAGCAAAACGATTAACAAAAGTCAATTTGAATGAATAAAATTGTGTAATTTTTAACCATCAATTAAAGTAGGGATGAGAATAAGGCTTCTTTAATTGTGAATGATAATTATCGTTGTAGAAACTTTAAATGAAAATTTAAAGCTGGGAAAGGAACCATCTTTTGTGCATTCCTTCTTAGTATTCTTAGGATACTTAAATTTACAGTATAAAAATTTTTATATTTGATGCTCCACCGCAGATATATCTTTTGTTACATAGTCTGAGTTTTGGTGGCTACAGAATTGATTTTTTTAGTTATCTCTAATATAATCAGATTTATAATATCTGGTATTTGTGATTGTGAGAAATTAAATGATAGCTATGATTAATCTGATTCACAGTATGCCCATCAAAGGACAAATTATACAAGATTAAGGAAATGAAACTGAGTCAGAGATAAAATGTTCCATTATCAGACATGGCACACAGATAAATGAATTGTGGTTAAAGTTTCAGAATGTGATTTTATGGTGTTTTTCTTGATAAAAGATGTTCAGTACTATGTATGAAGGGTGACTATGTGTATAGAAAAAATAACCTTTTTTGATTTATAAGATGTATGTGTGTTTTGCTGAAATATAGCGGCTTATCCATTTAAGTTAGGCAGGATTCATTAAAAATGCCGCTTTTAAAGTTTAAGAATGTCAGAATTTGTACATAAGGTTATCCTTTATGATTTTTACTAGGGTTTGATTTCATAGCTTTTAGTACCTTGAAACAAACATTATTGTATTTTCTTTGAAGTTACTTCACAAATTTCCTACTCATTTCCTGCATCCGTTCTTTAAATCTACAAAATTATAATAGCTAAAAGTAATACATGAATATGTCTTTTAACCCTTTTAAATGTTTTTGGAACTATTTATAATTTGTGTGTGTTTTTGCTAATGGTATGAGATTTTTTAAAGTCTTTAATCTGAGTTTTAGGTCATGCAGGATGAAGTCTAAAATTGCTTTTTGCTTGTCCGCCAGGCATTTTGGATTTGCTGTCTTTTTGCAGCATGGACACCAAATTGCTACAGACATGCTTTGGGACTGCCAGTGAATTTATCTTTTGCAGTTTTACCACAAGCTTACTGGTAGTTCCCTTTTTTTCTTGAGCCAGTATTTTAAAGTTAATATCACAATGAGTTCAAGCTTATGGAGCCAAGAAAAAGTTACTTCACCCTACTGGGAAGAGAGGATTTTTTATTTGCTTCTTCAAGAATGCAGTGTTACAGACAAACAAACGCAAAAGCTCCTTAAAGTCCCAAAGGGGAGTATAGGACAGTATATCCAAGATCGTTCTTTGGGGCATTCAAGGATTCCTTCTGCAAAAGGCAAGAAAAATCAGATTGGATTAAAAATTTTAGAGCAACCTCATGCAGTTCTTTTTGTGGATGAAAAGGATGTTGTAGAAATAAATGAAAAATTCACGGAGTTACTTTTGGCAATTACCAACTGTGAGGAGAGATTCAGCCTGTTTAAAAACAGAAACAGACTAAGTAAAGGCCTCCAAATAGACGTGGGCTGCCCTGTGAAAGTACAGCTGAGATCTGGGGAAGAAAAATTTCCCGGAGTTGTGCGCTTCAGGGGACCCTTGTTAGCAGAGAGGACCGTGTCGGGAATATTCTTTGGAGTAGAATTGCTGGTAAGTTTAATGAACCATTTTGTGATTTGTAGTGGGCTTTTAGTGTGTCTGTTTGAATGCACACATGTATTTTTTTCCCCATTAAATACAAAATAAGTTTTCACGGAAGTCTTCTGTAATTTTTAATATTCATAATCCTTAGGATTATTTTTTAATAATAAATCGAGATAATGCAAAGCTGATGCATCGAAACATCCTCCTACATCCGTTATTTAAATTATCTACTACAGTTGTTGTTAGCTGCTGTTGAGTCGATTCTAACTCATGGCGACCCCGTGGGTTACAGAGTAAAACTGCTCCATTGGGTTTTCTTTCCTGTAATCCTTTTTGTTTGTTGTTGTAGTTTAAATGAAGTTTACATTTCAAGTTCGTCTCCCATACAAAAATTTATACATACATTGTTACGTGACTCTTAACTGCTCTCCTCATACTGTGACAGCACACTCCTCCTTTCCACCCCTGATTCCCCACGTCCATTCAACCACCTCCCAACCCTCTCTGCCTTCCCATCTCACTTCCGGACAGAAGCTGCCTGTTTAGTCTCTTGTATCTACTTGAGCTAAGAGGCACACTCCTCACAGTATCACTTTATGTCCCACAGTCCAGTCCAATCCCTGTCTGAAGGGTTGGCCTCAGAAATTGTTTTAGTTCTGAGCTGATAGAGAATCCGGCGGCTATGCTTTCCAGGGTTCCTCCAGTCTCTTTCAGACCATTATGTCTGGTCTTCTTGCTAGAATTTGAGTTCTGCACCCCACCTTTCTCCTGCTCCATCAGGGACTGTCTGTTGTGTTCCCTGTCAGGGCGGTCATTGGTGGCAGCTGGGCACCATCTAGTTCTTCTGGTCTCAGGCTGATGAAGTCTCTGGTTTATGTGGCCCCTTCTGTCTCTTGGGCCAGTACTCTCCTTGTGTCTTTGGTGTTCTTCACTCTTCTTTACTCCAGGTGGCTGGGACCAATTGACGCATTTTAGATGGCCACTCGTAAGCTTTTAAGACCCCAGCCACCACTCACCAAAGTAGGATGCAGAACATTTTCTTAATAAGCTTTGTTATGCAAAGACCAGACTTAATGGTCTGACTGAGACTGGTGGTACCCCAGAAAGCATGGCCCCTGGATTTTCTATCCACCCAGAACTAAAACTATTTCTGAGGCCAACTCTTTCAGACAGAGATTGGACTGGACTGTGGGATATAAAGTGATACTCGTGAAGAGTGTACCTCTTAGTCAAGTAGATACAAGAGACCAAAGGGTCAGCTTCTGTCCAGAGGTGAGATGGGAAGGCAGAGAGGGTTAGGAGCTGGTTGAATGGACATAGGGAATCATGGGCGGAAAGGAGGAGTATGCGTCTCAGAATGGGGTGAGCAATTAGGGTCACATAACAATGTATGTATAAAATTTTGTATGGGAGACTAACTTGAAATGTAAACTTCATTTAAACTAAAATAATTAAAAAAAAAAAAAAGCTTTGTTATGCCAGTTGACCTAGATGTCCCCTGAAAGCATGGTCCCTAAACCCCTACCCCTGCTACTCTGTCTCTCAAAGTATTTGATTGTATTCAGGAAACTTCTTAGCTTTGGTTTAGTCCA